AAAAATTCAAACTGAATGCATCTAGCCTTCCATTCTCTTCTATTTTTTCTAGCATTCCTTCTTTGTTGTCCATTCCACAGATACACTTTGCTCCACCACCACCTTACTGCAATACTCAAAATAAGATTCAAAACCAAATAAACTTGAAATGTGATAATTAATTTCAAGAACAATTACCAAATACCCTTTACTAACCTGCCAAAATGGGCATTTGTACTACCTTCTTCCTGGGTTTAACTCACTCGTGCTAACATGAAGCCACGTCACTAATTCATGATCACAAACAACTTGTCTAGCACTAGAACTATCCACAGAAGGTCGAAGAGAAAGCTTAGATGCTGAAGATGAAGCCCTGGACTTCATCTTGGTTTCAGGACAAAAATCGAGGACTTCAAGAATGTTTTGCACCGCCTCACCTGCACCTCCACCTAAGCCCTTGCTTCTGCTATTGAGCTCTACCTTCACCTCTGCCTTTGCCTTCTCCTCCCCTATTTCAAACAAATATTTCAAGACAAAAATGGGAAAAGATTTCAAGATCGATAGGCTTTCAAACTCTTTTGCGTAATGGCTTCCTTGCACTTCTTCTTGATCTTGGTCATAGCATTGCTCTTCACCTCTGCCACTGCGCAATCACCCACACCATCACCGTCTCATTTTCCAAAGAAGTCACCGTCTCCGTCTCATGCAGTCAAATCAAATTGCCAGCTTCTAAACCGCCTCCGTCGAAAATGACAACTACTCCACCCGTTGCCGAATCGTCTCCATCTCCGTCTTCAATCTCTTTGACTCCTACAGAAGATTGGTAGGAAATTGCAAGGAGGTAAAATTTTCCAAATTAGAAATTTTCCAGATGAGAAATTTTCCAAATCTAATTTGCGGTTTCAAGAACAAAGAATGAAATATGTTAAAATTAGGGATTTTATCCCTAATTCGTGGGAATCCTTGGTCAAAAAGACCAAAAGGCCCACCAGTGGGTTCCATTTATTTGTGTAGTTAAAAATTTATGTGCACATGGCATCCACATGGTAGAATAATTGACACGTCATCATAATTTTTTTCCAGTTGTGTTACAGTTGGTTGGAGTGTGACAGAGATTAACAGTGTTAACGGTGTTTGTAGGAGATTTGACGAAAGTTAGTTTTCTGTCCAATTGGGACCTTATTTGAGAATTTTGTGGAGTTTAGGACCTTCATTGAGTGCAATTGAAGTTTGGGTTCAAAATTGTGAATTTTGTGTAAGTTTGGGTCCTTATGTCATATTTTTGCCTTTATTTTTCCCC